AGTGCAGTGGTAACAGCTAAAAGCGCAAATGAACTGCACAAAGTTGTAGATCAGGCCCTAGCTGATGGAATAAGAATAAACGCATGTTGTAAAGGAGAGTGGAACTTTGCTGAGTATGTGATATTGGGTACACATTTTCACAAGCTCGAAAAAGGTGATCTAAAAAAGATAATGCGTGAACTAATGTTAAAAGGAGCAGAGTTTCATGACAGGCTATTGCAGAATAAACTGATAGGTGAAACGTATAATGAACTGGAAAAAGAGGTTCAGCCACAGCTAGATAAGCAACGTGAAGAATTGAAAAAAGTCGTTAAAAATGCTCTTTGCAAGGGAAACGTAGTAGATATGGAAATAGATAATGAGACATATTTTACGGAACTTTCAAAGGATAGCATAGTAGAGGTTGCAAAGATAATAGAAGGCACAAAAAGTTTAGGCTTGAATAAAGGATTGGTAAAACTAGGAAGTCACATTATAAAAGTGAGTAATAGTGAGGTTGAAGTTAAAAGCGAGCAAGGAGGTGCAAGAAACTATGTCGGAATGTCAGACAGTAGCGACGTTATCATAACCTTTCCTACAAGCATTGGTGAGCTAAACATCAGGATGTGCCATGATGACAAAGATCGAGTACTGGTAAAAGTAGAAGATAAAGAAAAGTGGGCTGAACTACAAAAAAGAAATGAACCTATAGGGAAAGACTGCCTATTTGGGGGAATGACAGTCAAAGAAGCAGTGGAAACAGGAAGTTTTACAAGATGTGGCATGTGGAGTAAAGGGCAGGTCACAGAACAAATAAAGGGGGCAAGTGAAAATAGTGCAGGCGAAACATTGTCATGGGTGGACAGAACACGTGTAGATAGTAAAGAGACCTCTAGGCAACGTTAGCTTTTCTAAACGTAGTCACTCATTCATAAAATCGGACTGTTTTTTTGTATAAATTGCAGTCCAAAACTTTTAGTTATGGTATAGCAAAAGATCTTGTAATAGGGTATTATATTTCTTTCTGTACAAGAAAGTGACTGCAGGTAAAGATAGTGATACAACTGACTCTTTAGAC